TTCCGCTTCACTGATTCCGTGAGAGATGACCGTTTTGGCGGGAGTTGGCCATTTTTCGTTTGATGATGACCCATCATCAAACTAACCAGTGGATTCGGTCGGTAGCTCTCCTTCATATTTTTTGATTTACCTGGTTTATGAATAGGTACTTACTACCTCAGCGCGCGTCAGGCAGTCTGGGTAGTGCTGCAATTTAGAGATCGCTTTTACGATATGCACTACTTGCACGAGACCCTTACGCGGTAGGTTTCGGAGCAGAACCGCCTCAACGCCATCGCTACCTGGCGCCTTGTTGAAGGGCAGGTAAGCATAAACATATTCCATAAACGTATAGTGAATGAAAAAAAAATTTAAACATCTTTCTATGATTGATGATTGTTGATTATTGATGTATTTTCGTGTATTGCAAAATGAAAGTTTTTCACATTACTTTCTATATATCTGAATATGAGAATTTTGACAACACCCTCAATATGTACACTTTCAATTAAAAAATCTCACTAGACATATTCTCGACAATTTCAAACGAATTATGATTACTAATCTAGATAATGTGATAATCTAGTCAATGAAGTTAATTTCTGAATCAAATTTACAATTCTTACTTTCCTAGATTCTGTAATAATCTTTTTTGTGCAAAACGAATAGTTCCCCATTTGGTATCCTTCAAGATTTCGATATATGGTATTGAATTGAAGTTACCTAAATTTATTTTAGTATTCCAGCTCAAAAACGTCAATTAGGAAACTGACAGGAAAATCAAAATGTGGTCCATATAGGAACAGGTTGAGTGATACTTACAATTTGGGACGGTAACCGGTTGGGTTGATGTCATCCAACCCGTGCTAGGAATCACAAGTTAAAAGGTAAGTTAGTTAGTCCTCAGCTCGCACAAGTTTCGACTTTTGACAGTTGACAGAAAAAAAAATCTGAACGATCCATGCACCAGACACTTCAAGGTCACAACGCCTTGACTTCACTGCACAACAAAAAAAGCAAATAACACGTCATATTGGTGGGGGGAGGATTAGAACCGGGAAAAAATTTCTGAACGATCCATACACCACACCCTTCAAGGTCACAACAACCAATAAAAAAGCTATTAATACGTCATAGTGGTGGGGGGAGGCTCAGAACCGGCTCAAATCTCCTACTCATTTCCTACACTGGAAAAAGTTTATATGGCATCCAGCTGATGAATTCTGTTTTGTGATTTGTGTGTACGAATATTAACGTGTTTTGTACTTGTTTGCTCTTGCAGAACTTTGATGCAGCAGAAAAAACTTTTCATGTCTCATTAAACAAATGAAGAAGAAACTTGTGGAACAATTCAGAACATTGGACGGGATTTTGAAGAAATGAGGTCTGGAAGTTTCGGAAGAGGTCTGGAAGAAAAATTGGGAATATTGAAAACTTTCCGAAAACATTCCAGACATATTTTGTAGTAGCCGAAGAATGAGGTTTCCTTTTTTGACCTAGGGTATACTTTTGGAGTCATGATGGCTGTAAGGTTCGCCGTCTAGAAATTTATAGAACAGTCCGGAACATGCTGGAGTATTCGAGAGCATTCCACAACATTCCAGGATATCCCGGGACATTCTGGAATTTACGGAAAGTTTTTGGAACATTCAAGAATATGCCAGATCATTGTTGTGGAATGTATTGTACAAAAGAAGATATCCGTGCTAGAAATATACAGTGTGATAATAATTCACCCTCTCTTGATTTTCTAACGCGATAAGGTATCGAGGTTGGACAAGAGTCACGTGAAGGTATTATTTTCAGTCCTTTTTGGTCAGAAAGACAATAGTGCTGCATCACTTGTTACCGAGAGGGCGGTTACAACTTTCTTTTCAATAGAAAGGGGAGTCTCGTGATATCTGGTTTGATAGGCATTTCAATTCTCAAATTCTCAAAATGAACAACGATAATTCATCCTGGGGGAATGAGGGGGGAGATGGTTATTTATGTTGGCATTATATAAAACAAGATCTCATGATTCAAGGTTCATCTAATTACTGCAACTACAACCCAATCTCATATCAACTTCCTCAGATAGTTATTTCGAAGTTCGATTATTTGAATCTGTAGAAAAACAAACTCACCCACGATTAGAGGCAGATTTCCTTCAAAATCTTCTCCTATTCGCCCTGCGACATGTGCTCCAAGTGAGTGACCAACAATAAAAATTCTGTTAATGGTAAGTCCATGATTTGTTATGAGAACTTTGATTAATTCTCCAGTTATTCTGCCAACATCCGGAACTGCTGCAAATGCTTCAAGGTAAGTTTTGAGAGCGATGTTGCTCCAGTCCACGCAAAAAATATTCACATCCTCCTTTTCCACGAGTGCGTTGCCTACTGTTTCCTCCATGCGCGATGAAAAGTCGCTCTTCCAACCATGTACTACGAACCAAGTATCTTTCTTAGATGAAAATGAGGTTTTTACTATTGAGTTTGGATCTTTTGTATCGATTAGTACAGGAAGCGGATCTTTGCGACTCGCAAAATAGAATTTTATATCGCTTTCTATCGCATGGTAAGGGGGTATGGCTCCTGTTCTATTTTCCAACTGGTACACCTCCGGAGCGGTTTGGACAATAGTACTCAACTCTCGATAGTCCCTCTCAGTAACTGAAATATGGCATACTGTGTCAGTTTTTATGCTCATAAGAGTGAAACTAAGATAACTGTATTTGTAATATGTATTTCTTATTGATTTTTTGTACTGTTTTTGGATGTTTTGGATGTGTTTGGATCTTTCATAAATGATATATATGTTTGCCAACCGACGAAATTTTTTTTCACTATATGCTATTTTAACAGTATCCATAGAGACAACTCAAGCATTTTGTTCATTATTTTATCTATAGAAAATAGGTATATTTAATTTGTTCTTCAGTGAAAAATAAAATTGAGCATATGTTGAAAACTATAACCATCTCTCAATGAAAATGAAATTGGAGATTCTTCAGTTATCACTTTTCAATGCTTTTTTCATGATAGTCACGTTTTTCGTGACTAACCTAGAACTATTTTTTTTCATAATTGAACCAAGCGGCCGGTACAATTAGGATTTCAATTAATATTTGAAAGTTTTACACTATATGTCTGCATAAGATGACCGATAAGCTTTGATTGCTATGAAGGAACTAGCTTCTCTCAAACTCAGGTAAAAATCAACTGTTGTTGTTGATTTTTACCTGAGTAAGCAACACTTGAATAGTAGGCAATAGAGCGTTTCAGGACACTCTACTTTCGAACACGTAACAAATACCATTTCACCAGTATAGTAGGGATGGGTTCGAGTAGGGTCAAGCGACTTTCGAATTCGTAACAGCACACCTAGATAATTACAAATGAGATTATGTCGAAACGTTGGTGGGATTAAAGATAATATCACATACACTTCCTTTTCAATGAGAAATATAGATATTCCATTTAATTTCCGAATTGAAAGTGAATTTATGTAAACTTTCAGTATATTTTACATTTTATTTAGTTGTGTTGACGACTCACCGTTAGGTTGTTAATGAATACGTATTTCGAAGAAATTACAATATTGCAGGCACCTGAATCATTCAGTTGACTTTCATTTTATTAAACCTCTCTTGGAAAATACAAGCAAATCCGTCTTTTTGTTGATGTCAAAGTTTTAGAATTTTTCATTTAACAATACCATCACCATGTTGTTCACTCAATTTGCTGTAGGGTGTTCAAAATGAATTAATGAAGTACTATACTTATTGATTGAAATGTTGGTGATTATGGCTAAAACTATTTTATTGAGAATATTGACCCTCAAAGGATAACAAGCCTCTCTAATGTTCTTTAGGTTAAATGGTAAATTATAATATTTAACACGCCCAAAGTTATTGATCAAACTTGAGTAACATGAACTAATTGAAGCAAGAAAATCTGGCCAATTAACTTTTATGAAAAAAGCATTGTAAGGTGAGAGACGGTTAATAGTTTTCAACATAAATGCTCAATTTTAGAAAAGAAGTTCATATTTTTCACTGAAGAATTAATTATACCAATTTTCTATAGATAATATAATGAACATAATGGACAGAATACTTTAGTTGTCTCTATGGATACTGTTAAAAATAGCATCTGATGGAAAAAGAAATTCTGCGTCATTTTGAAAGTACATCGACCATCTGCAGTGAAGCAAGCATGTACAAAATCAACGAAAAGTATCGATTGGGAAACGAAACATTCAGATGAAGTCAAAATGCCGTATATAAAAGAGTCAAAGCAACTTTTTGCAGGAATTCTTACAAATAATTAACTTTTAAGAATTTACTCACTTGGTATAGCATAATTGGTAACAAATAAAACAGAAAGCGTTATAATGGCCTTCATAGTGGTACTTTTCACGATTTATGATAAGATGGATAAGTCATGATGGATTTATATAGCTTTGAATTCAAATTGATTTTATCATATCACATAAATAAAAAAGAAATCGATAAGAATTATAATATTTTTTTATTGGAATTTCGTCACACACATCCGCACCAAACAAAAATCAAATGATTATTTTGGAAATTTTTGAAGAAGTACCATTTCTTATGAAATGTAATACTCATTATGATATATTGCGTACATGTTAAGGTTAATAGTGGGAGATAAGATCTTATCGTTATCAGTTTTGATAAATTGGGATATTTTTAATTAAATGTACCTAACAATTGCGGAGTTAGTACCTACTCTGCAGTTATCATCTATCCATAATCTAACAATAATAGGTTATGGACTGTCAAGTACAGAGTGGAATAGTTTTTGATGAACCCTACAAATTCATCAACAGTTTGGATATAATTATCGAAGGAATCGATCAACTGAAAAACAAATAGTGCGAGACTTTTTTTCAATACAATGAAATTCCATGCTTATCAAATCACCTGTTTTTTCAAGTCAAGTAGTCTGATATTGGAAAATACATACAGTGAGTTTCAAAAAGTTTGCACCATATGGGAAACTTTTTTAATACTCATTTTTCAGAAAATTTCATCATCGATAAAAATTGGTGCATCGCGGAAAACTTCGATCTTTGTTAACAAAATTCTAAATTTCCGAACGGTGTACAGGGGACGACAAAAAATAGAAATATTGATCAAGAGCAAACTACCCTTATTTTCGACATAATTGAAAAAGTTATTAAAAAAAGTTGTTTGAATTTAAGAACAATATTCAGATTTGAAATCACAGCCACTTACGTAACAAAACCAAAATTATTTTTTTTACGATTATAGCCTCATAAAGAGTATTAAATTCTCATATATACCTTACGCGCCTCCCTCATATCACTATAATAAAATTTCAATGCGAAATTCAGAGTATTACTTGAACTAGTATATCGATGTTTCTTGAAAATGGTTTGAATTTTTAGTAGGTTTTTGGTGCAAAATTGACATTTCACTCTGTATCTATGTCCATAATGACTATCAGTTTGATTTGATGACGAAAAATAATTGACTTAATTTATTAATGCTAAACAATTAAGTAATACAAATCTGTAAGTAGTACTAGTACTCTTTATGAGACTAGATCCATATTTTTTTTTTGTTTCGTTACGTAGGTGGCCGTGATTTCAAATCTGAATATCGGTTTTGAATTTAAACAAGTTTTCTGAATGAACTTTTTCGGAAATAAAATTTTCTGACAAATGGATAATAAAAAATTTTTCCATATGATGCAAATTTTTGAAACTCACTGTACATCAACAGTAAGTACATTGATTTTTCGTACTAGCTTCATCAACTTCGATAGTCAGCCCTCTGAAGTGATTCATTATCTAGATATCGGTCTTGCTCCTGGGGGCGAATTGATAAATGTTGAACCTATGAAATCTGATTACTACTTTTTTTACTTATTTCATTTGTTAATATTTATTGAAGTCCAGCATTATTCTCAGCAATCTACGGTATTGATCAGATAAAAAAATAATAAAATCGTTGGGTCTAGCCTTACTTGAGTAAATATGTAAATACTACGTCCAAAATTTTTATTATTTTTTTATCTGGTCAATACCGTAGATTGCTGAGGGGAATGGTGTGATGTCTGCCACCATGCAGCATCCGAATCATTTTTTTAGTTTTCAGTACATTATCTACATCTTTTTTTTTCCAATGAAACTGTTCAACATTTTTTAAAAATTATTTCATTTTCAAGTTTTTAGTACTACCTACTATTTTACTAGTCGAGCCCTGTCATCAGGAAGGGAGTGGGTCAAACTTCAATTACTAAATGACACGATTTTTAAAACGAAACTGAAACTGCGCTCTATATTCAGAACACTTTTAAAAATTGATTATTCCATTTATAGAAGTCTTTGTTTTTGTTTCTCTTCCCCCAGCATTTTGCAAGCAGGTCTAGTCGAATAACATGATCTAAAAATTACTGATTGAAATGAATTATGCAATTATTATACAATAATTGTGTCTAATTGTTATCTCAATGAATCATACAGTGTGTCCCACTTCTCATGGAAACACTCCCGTATCTTCCGTAATATTCGAGGTGGAACGATGAAACTCTCAGGACTGATGGAAATGCTCAAATTGCACCTACCACCTGAATGTGGTTGGCCAAAGTGATATACACTGTCCGCCACTCGCGATGGAACACCTCATTTTTACGGTAAAACATATTAGGTGGCAAAATAGGCACAAAATTCCTATATATTTTATGTACAGTTCCAGGGTGTACAGCTACCTCTAGCGGGTGTCTTCAATTAAATTCAGCGGCCGCTTCACGATAGGACCTCATCCCTTCACCAACAATTAAAACAATTTCAATTTTTGCTTGAAGTGACAGACGTGCCATGTTGAACTTTGTCAATTAAAATGAGCTGATATCAGATAAAATGGGAACTTCAGAAATATTAAAATATGAACAGGAACTCACGAACGGAAAACAACTGGAACACAGGAACAATATCCTACACAAATACAGGAACAATAAACACAATGGGAACAAAAACACGGCAGAAACAACAGGAACAACGGTGATTCAAAGAACAACAATACCAGAAACAACAAATGCAATGAAAACTGGTCTGGGGGTTAATACAACAAGATCTTTCAACAATATTGTCAAGTTGACAGTAAATATCAATGAGCAACTGTTCTCCATGGTGATTTCAGGGCACCGCATGATTCAATGAAACTGAAACAATCCCTTCAAATGATTTCAGACAACAATTCAGCAAGTAGGTAAAATAATCTAAATTCTACATGTTCACCGAGTGCGATTTTTTCTTTAAAAATTAACAGTTGTGTCGGTGTTGCAATGAGTATAAAGATCAATTTTGTTACGGATGGTAAAATGTTTCTTCAATATTTTGATAAAGGACCCCGCACATTTCTTATGAGAAATGGCTTGCCTTGAATTTTGCCGAAATTTTGATATGTTGTAGTTCTTGATGTGCTGATTGAAAGTGTCCACAGCCAAAGCTCAGAATTGTACAGTTTTCGAGATGTGAACCTTTGAATATATATAGATTTTTTCCATTTTTTCCAATTTTTGCTCATCAAGCGAGGGCTCTCACTTTTGGTTGGAATAGAATTTGGATGTTCAGCAACCAGAATTAGTTTTACGAATAATCTTCTTCAGTTATAATAGATGCCGCCATCGATAATTTTTCATACACTGATTCACACTATCTCGATAATCTCAGAATGCGGTGCTGTGACATTTTCCTCAGATAGGCTCAAAATAGATGATAGCATCTCACAGCATCTGTATCTTTCATACCTGAGAGTACTCTCCAGATAGAATGAAGGGGTTCAGGTATTGGAAGCGAACTATTTTGCGCCGTAATATGTTTTACCTAAAAATGGGGTGTTCCATCGCGAGTGGCGGACAGTATATAATACTTTGGCCAACCCCATTCAGGTGGTAGGTGCATTTTGAGCATTTCCATCAGTCCTGAGAGTTTCATCGTTCCACCTCGAATACTACGGAAGATACGGGGGTGTTTCAGGAAAAAAGTGTATTCGTAGTGAGTTGGTAGTAATGATCACGAATCTGAAGGAATTTTGAGCCTATTTTGCCCCCTAATATGTTTCACCGTAAAAATGTGGTGTTCCATCGCGAGTGGCGGACAGTGTATATCACTTTGGCCAACCCCATTCAGGTAGTAGGTGCATTTTGAGTATTTCCATCAGTCCAGAGAGTTTCATCGTTTTACCTCGAATATTACGGAAGATACAAGGGTGTTTCCATGAGAAGTAAAACACACTGTATATTTGGTTGAAACACCTAACGTTAAACTAATTAAAGGTGAAACTAGAACCTCTGGCATAATAATAATAATAATAAATCCAAAACAAGCACTCTTTCCCATCACCAGATATTCAACTTCCGTTCTGAAGCACGTTTCACTAATTATGTAGTAGTCGTAATTTTGAGATTGAAGTTGAAATTTTGAGATTAAAGTCGAAATTTCGATTTCGAGTTCAAAGGGTTGAGAAAATACTCAGTCCATGACATTTTCTGAATATCCACCTATGCTTTCCAAAAGTATCAGGAAATAGAAGAACATATAATAACAATGGCTGGTTCATTGAAAAAGGGTCACTTTCGAATTCGTAGTGAATATATTCCTTCAAGGGAGCTATGCTACATCATAACTTTCTACAATGCGTCTTTATAGGTTCATTCCCTAACCCTCTAGATCCACCCCATGATTTCTCAAGCAGAAAAAGAAGTTATAATTTGACTAAAAGGTGTTTTCATAGGACCTTTTGTTTGTTTTGGACTTCAATGAATGTTTCAGCGAGAATTAAGAATTAAAAAAATTGGAATATTAGCATGTCTGATGTAGGAATGTAGGCTTTTACGGTTGGTGTCAATGTTTTTATTGTTTGCAGTTGAATTCAGTTTCAGTTGACACGTCAAGAAGAGTATTTTGACCAAGTCATTGAAGATGACTACCGCAGTTGCAGTTGAAACGTTTGGAGATTATTACCAAAGAAGACCACGGCAAAACCTGAAAACTAACTGAAACACATCTGTTTTTATTTGAAATCACTTCACTAAATTTTTTCATCGAGCGCTAATAATGACACCGACACCATTATTGTATCTATTCCATTTCCAGTCATCAAAACTCACGGTATCGCACCAACTTTTTGAATATGAAGGGTTAGGTTAGGTTAGGTCCAAAGTGAGTGGGTCTATTCGACCCTTCACCGCAACCCGCAAGGGTTCATTGTGGTTCACACCTATTCACACTCGACCAAATAAACCCAGCAATAATATTTTGTATTCTGTAACTGTTTCCATTTTTCAAAAACCTATATTTCAAAAGAGAAGAAAGATAAGTTTTTCGGCTCCAACGCCTTCTTCATCGTCAAACGAAAAGAAGGAAAGACTTTCCAAAGATAGATTACTCACAGAAGTTTCATTCAGACATAAACTGTAAGAGAAAAAACTTTTCGAAACCAACTACTTCCATACAAAAACTGAATTAATTTTTTCCATTCAGTTCTTAGTCCAAATATTTGTTACAGAATTGAACTGATATCATTCATATAAATGCTACACAACGTGATATATGAAATATAGTTGAA